TATTATAAGCCACAGTCATCCTAGGGTCCCCCCTGCTAGGTAGCCTCCCTGGATCTGCCCCACAGCTCTTGAAGTGACTGACTGAGTCTCCTAACTTGACAGATGAAGAGGCCAGCCTGGAGTCTAATCTGTTCCCATTAAATGTGTTGCTGTTTCCACATGCTCAGGTTACTGCAGCTCAAATCCTTGCATTTCAGATGCCCCTTCATTCAGTGCTGCTTGCAGACTTGAGAAGCATAGCCCACATTCCTTTGCATAACCCATCAGCACAGACACAGCGTAAAACAGGCCCCTGACAGATGCAAGAATAAGCCACTTGATACACTTCCCTGGAGTCACTGAGGGCATGGCCTGGACCATCTGTTCACCCGACTCAGTGTATCAGCCCCCTGCCCGGCAGCATGAACCACGGGCTGGCCCAGAACAGAATGCATGCCCTCCATTTTAGAATGGGATGTTGACAGCTTGCTTTCCACAAAGCTGTCCTTCTGAGCCACATGGCTCAAACCTACCTGAAGACCGGGAGGTCTGTGCACACCTTGCTTCATGCTGGGCATGGGTTTGAGCCTGGCACATAGCTGCCTGCCTGGTACTCTCCAGGTTCTGGAGAGGTGGCCCCTTCTTCCTGGGCTGGGTTACCTTGAATTGAATCTAGCAGGGACAGAAGTGTGTTGAGTGTGTGTGCATGCCTGGACAGCTTGTATGGGGGTAAAGCAAGGGACCACAACCATATGGCATAGTGTTTATGGCCAGAGACTCTCTCCCATGGGATTCATGAGAACGGGGGCTTGTCTGTTGTTGATATGTGGTGGCCATCTTTTCTTCCTGATTAAAGACCAGATTGGCTTTCACCCTTTGATTTTTCCAAATGAAATCTAGAAGGTCAAACCCCAAACAAGTAACTAATAAATATAGTTTGCTAAAGAAATAGTTCAAATCCCAAGTAGTGTAGTTCTTACAGGATCCACCCTAGGCTCTGAGGTAGAAACAGCGAACAAAACAGACAACAGACCCGCCATTTGTTTACTTTAGAAACCTGAAAGGCTCCGGGCGGTGGTGGTGCACACCTTTAATCCCAGCACTTGGGAGGCAGAGGCAGGCAGATCTCTGGGGAGTTCAAGGCCAGCCCGCTCTACCTTGTGAGTTCCAGGACAGCCAGAGCTGTTACACAGAGAAACTCTGTCTCAACTGCCCCCACCCCACAAAGAAACCCGAGAGGCAGGCGGAATGGCCATGTTCTTACCTCATCTTGTGAATGAAGGAACCTGAGGCTCAGAGAGGGGGCTCCCATGATGAGAAACAGGAGCGCTGGATGTGCTATCGTCGACTACAGATCCTGTGCCATCTCTACGACCTCTTCATAGTTTTATGGATGTGGTAGAATCAAGCCAACAGCAATAGCTCACTCCCAAAGTTGAAATCCTATAACGACCTTCACACTCTGAGCTGCGTGGGCCAGATTTGGTCTGTGTGTCCCCAGTAGTCCTTTCTTGCAGGGGCATCCTTAGAACCTTGGGAGACAGCTCTGAGCCAACAGCCTGGCTCCCTTGGGCATGTGTCCTTGGGCTACCCATGGCAGGTCCTTTGAGGTCCTCCCCTCAGTCCCCCTTCTGATGCCTGTCTCCCCGGAGCCTTCTATCACTTCTTCTTCGTCAGCCTCTCCTAAAAGGAGCCCCCAGAGAACAGTGGTCTGGAGCCATTCCCTCTACTCCACACCGGAGCCCCCTCTGCTCGATGGCTCCCCCAGAGAACCTTTATGGCTGGGCTCCTTACATGGTCCCCTCCAGCCCTTCTCCAACCCCTTGTCCTCAGGCCATTGTGCGCTGCCCAGTGGCAGTGCCCTCCGAAGCCAGCTCTGATGACCCCTAGCCAAGTCTTCTTGACCTCACTGCATCTGCTCTCTTGCCTAGCAGCAGTCCTTCTTGATCCTGCAATGCACCGGAGACCTTGTCTGTACCTCTGTCTATTCTGTCTCCTTGGCAAGCTGGACTGTCCCCACCCGTGGGTGTCACCTCCACTCACGTCTCTTCAGAGACCTGTTAGAACTGGAGCTGTGATTGTCTGCTTCCCAGACACGCCAGAGTAGATGGATGGATGGGCAGACAGACAAAAAGGTCAAGGATGCTCTTACTGTCTGTCGGATGTCTGTGATTGGTCACAGTAGGTCTTCATTGCATACCCTACCAGTACCTGAAAATTAATGTGGTGAACCACAGACTATTTTGAAATCGCAGAAAATGAAAGCTGAGTGGGATGTGGGGGACCATCTCAAATCTCCAGGAAACCTGAGCACCCTCACCTTCTCTGTCCATGGTACCGGTGTCTCTGCAGCTTGGCTCCTCTGGTGAGCTCTGCGAAGCCAATTTCAGCTACTAATATCATGTGGGGCTTGGGGGGCAGCCTGCCACCCTTCAGCTGGGTCCAGGGCACTTTCCCCTTCCCCAACATTGTTTCTGCCACTGGTTAGTCATGCTGGAGTCTGCTGAGTCAAAAGAGACTTGTGGGTGGTTTGTGGCCAGGCTGGAGCAGTGAGGCAGGACTTTCTAGGCATGCGACTCTGCCCCAGGAGTAAAGCCCAGAGGTCTCAGCCCTGAGCGGGTTTTGATGAACAGGAACAAAGCAAACAGAACTCTGGGAGTGAGAAGGATCCAGGGGTGCCATGGTCCCCAAGACACTTCTATGGAGCCATGGCACATCAGTGCCAGGGCCACATGGACCAGGCTCCAGGGTAGAGGTGTTTGCAGCCTGAATGAAATTCCTGCATTCTGCACAGAGGCCTGCATTTCAAATATGGCATACATTTTAAACAACATCACTAATTGACCATTTCTTTTCATGTTATGTTGTTGTCGTCGATAAAGATTCGTTAAATAACTTATTCCTTGAATGTTTGTTTCTGTATAGATTTTTTTTTTCTTCACATAAATAAAACTTACTGTGGTCTGGAATTATGGCTCCGTGGTGGAGCATGTCCACAGCTTGTGGGAAACCCTGGGTTCAGGACCTAACACCCAAACCAAAGAGACTCAGAAAGAGATCTGTTACCAGAGCCTTGTGTTACAGTCTGGTAGTTAGGAAAATATGGGGGCTGGAGAGATGACTCGGTGGGTAAAGTTCTTGCTATGCAAGCACGAACACCCAAGGTCAGATTCCCCAGCACCCACGTAACTGCTGGGTGAGGGGGTGCATCTCTGGAACACCAGTGCTGGGGTGACATAGTCAGGAAGACCCTGGGACTTGCCAGCCACTTCAGCTAAGTCATTGAGTTCAGTGAGAAGACCCTGTCTCAGAAGATAAGGTTCAGGGTTGGCGATACGTAGAGTTCAGGGGATAAAGTCACTTGGCCCAAAGCCTTACCACCTGAGTTCAACTCCCGAGACCCACATGGTAGAGAGAATCGACTGAAAGGTCTCTGACCTTTTCGTGTGTACTGTGGTACATGTGTGTGCATGCACATACACACAAATGATATATGTAATAACTTTTTTGTTGTTTGTTTTTCTTTTTCTTTTTTTTTGAAGATCTATTTGTTTATTATGACTTATTTTATTTTTATTATGTATACAGTGTTCTGTCTGCATGTATGCTTGCAGGCCAGAAGAGGGTGCCAGAGCTCATTACAGATGGTTGTGAGCCACCATGTGGTTGCTGGGAATTGAACTCAGGACCCCTGGAAGAACAAGCAGTGCTCTTAACCTCTCAGCCATCTCTCCAGCCCTGTTGTTTGTTTTTCAAGACAGGGTTTCTCTGTGTAGCCCTCTGTAGACCAGGCTGGCCTTGAACTCACAGAGATCCGCCTGCCTCTACCTCCCGAGTGCTGGGAATAAAGGCGAGCGCCACCACCTCCCAGCTATGTAATAACTTTTGTTTTTGTTTTTTTTTTCGAGACAGGGCTTTCTGTGTAGCCCTGGATGTCCTGGAATTCACTCTGTAGACCAGGCTGGCCTTGAACTCACAGAGATCCACCTACCTCTGCCTCCCAAGTGCTGGGATTGAAGGCATGTACCACCACCACCTGGCCCTATATGTAATAACTCTTAAATTATTTTTTAAAAGGTGGAGAGCAATTGAAGAAAACACTCAGGATCTCCACATGTGTGCACATACATGTACACATGCACCCATACACACAGAAAGAAAAAGAGTGTGGTTAAAGCCAAGTATGGTGGCTCACGCCCAGCACCCAGTGATGGAGGTAGTAGTTCAAGGTCATCCTTGGCTACATCGGGAGTTTGAGCCTACTCTGAGCTAAATGAGAGCTTGTCTTAAAAATCAAAAGAGAAGCCAGGTGGTAATGGCACATGCTTTTAATCCCAGCACTTGGGAAGCACAGGGAGGATGATCTCTGCGTTTTGAGGGGCCAGCCTGGTCTACAGAGTAAGTTCAGGCCAGCCAGGGCTACACAGAGAAACCCTGTTGAAGAAAAGAAAAAAATCAAAAAGAAGCTAAGCGTGGGGCAAACACCTTCAATCCTGGCACTCGGGAGGCAGAAGTAGATGGTTTCTTTGGAGGCCTGGTCTACATAGCAGGTTAAAGGTCATCTAGGGTTATAGAGCGAGACCTGTCTAAAAATAAATAAATAAAACGCACACTCAATGCAGCCATCAGAGGGTGTAATACCTGCTGGGGGAGTGGGTCCTTGCTGGGGGAGTGGGGTCCCTGCTGGGGGAGTGGGGTCCCTGCTGGGGGAGTGGGGTCCCTGAAGGCCCTCTAGGACTTAGGTAGCCAACTTTTTTATTTGGTCAATGCTGGGGGTCGAGCCTAGGGTCTTGTTCCTGCCGGGCAAATGCTGTCACTGAAGCTGCACCCCAGCCCTCCGGATGTACTCAGATGGGGCTCAGCTTTACCGTACAGGAAGGGTGGGGACAGCATGGCACAGCCCTGGACGTGTGACTTGTGGAAGTAGGGCAGGAGGAGGCCAATGCCAGTCCAGCTAGCCTGGAACACAGTGAGTGCCTCTTGGGTCAGCTCTGGCTTACAGGGTGTGTCTGTGCCCACAGGAAGGAGAGGAACAGGAGGAGAATCGTGGCAAGGAGGAGCGCCAGGAGCCCAGCCCCACGGCCCGGAAGGTGGGGAGGCCTGGCCGGAAGCGCAAGCACCCACCGGTGAGTGTCCCCTCTCACAGGACCCGTGCCTGTGCCCGTACCGTGGACAGCAGTGATGTGTGTCTAAGGCCTTGGGGATATTAAGGCCAGCTGCGAGACTTTGCTAGATTCTCCATTCTTTGAGCTCCGAAGCCCTTTCCCTTTCCCTGTTCGCTCCAGTTTTGAACTAGAGGCCAGGGAACTTGGCTGGCGGGTGTGGGAGCCGAGATTTCAACCAGGCTCTGACCCCTGGCTTCCCTCCGGAAGGGCACTAAGAGAGCCGGCCAGACTCACCAGCTGGACTGAGAGCCTCTGAGTCTGGCCATGCAGGCCCCTGCCACAGAGTCCTACACTAGCCAAGGGCCTCTGCTCCCAGGAGGGGAACTTTTAGGAAAGGACCTGAGGCCAGAGCCTGATTCCAGAGAAAGGAAGACATGCCGGAGCTTCTGCAAGAGAGGTGCAGGTCCTGCGGACGGCCTGCAAGGTGGAGGCAGGCAGGGCAGCTGGCCCACAAGCTCCTTCCTTCGCCTGGGAGCCATGCTGCTGAGGTCGTGGGGAGCTCTGGGTCTGCTCAAGATGGAGAGAGCTGGGCTGGGGGTGTGGTGAAGCTGTGGGCTGGAAGAGCCTGCCTCCCTCCTCCTGCCTAACCTCGGGGCGGCGAGGGTAATTATTTCCCAGCAGAGGGCCAGCTGGTTCCTTTCTCTTAGCCCTTCCAGAAGAGAACGGTAAACTTGGAGCAGGAGCTCTGGATTGGTAACTCCGACGTGCATGGCAGCTGGGCAGGGAGCCGCAGCTTCTGCACAGCCGGGCTAGGGAGGTGGGTCCAGAGAGGCCTGGGAACCTGGTGGGAGCTAACCGTGTCCAATGCGCTTGCTGTAGAGGGAAGAGCGGAAGTTAGCTAACTAGCTGGTAAGTCATGGAGGACGTTTTAATAATAAAGCACACATGGATATTTTATGGCCTGTAATGAAAAATTCACTTGACAATGGAGGGATGAAATAAGAGTTCAGAAGAATTTCCGCTTTGGAGCGGGCTGCACTGGCAGATTCCCCCGGGGGCTTCTGCCCCGCGTTCGCCTAAGAGCACCTTGCGGGTGAAGGTGTGCAAAGGGACAGCTGGCCCCGTTTGCCTGCAGCATATCCCTGCCCCCTGAGGCGCCTCGCCTTCCTGTAATCTGCAGAGCAAATTTCTCCACTCCAGTTGCTAAGGGCCCAGAGTCACCACCTGTAACAAATAAAGAGTCAGTGACCCTTTGACTCCAATTTGTCGGTCTGAAATCAAAAGGGAAGGCCGAGCTCTGAGAGAGGGTGAAAGTCAAGGGGTCGGAGGGTAGAAGGAAACAGCCTGTGAAATGGGGACTGGGAGGGAGTCGTTCAGCCCTTGCCTGGATCCCACTTCGGGGCAGAAAGAAGAATCCTGTCTTCGGAGTCCAGCAGACCTGGGTTCAAATACCGGCTTCACAATTCACCACCTTTCTGAGCTTGAACAAGGCACTGACACCCACAGCTTCCCTCCAGAGTGCTGTGACAGGGTGGTCGGTCTCTCCCAGCTGGTGCCAGTCTCTCCCAGCTGGTGCCGAGCAAGCGCACCACAGTCACAGTTTGACGGGAGAAAATTCCTGTGTTTGATGCTCCCGAGCTGTGTGACCTCGGGCAGTTATTCAGCCCCGTGAATACCTGTCCTGTATGACTCCTGGGGTGCTTGCAAACAGCACCGGGAAGCCCAGATAGGCAGCACTGGCCAGATTATAAACTTGCATAATTTCGGTGGCCAGTGGCCACAGACCGGAGTGCAGGCCTTTGGGGTGGGGTCCAACCCTGACCTCTGAGCAGCCCCCATGGGAGGCCGTGGGCGTCATGCAAAGAGCATCATGTGGATATGGTCCAGCTGTGTCCTGGGTGACGTTACAGCCACCTGGACGCAGAGGAGGGACCTTTGGAGAGCTGGCGCTGACTGAGGAGTCTGGGGGGTGAGGTGTTAGAAGGAAGCCTTGTGGTCCGGGAATGTGGCTTGGTTGGTAGAGTACTTGCCTAGCATGCATGAATCCCTGGGTTTGATCCCAGTAACATATAATGCTGAGCATGGCAGCACACATCTGTATTCTTAGCGCTTGAGTGTGGAAGCAGGAGGATTAGAAGTTCAAGGTCATCCTCAGCTAAATAGTGAGTTCGAAGCCAGCCAGTGAGACCCTGTCTAGAAAATTAGATTAAAAACTTTTTTTTTTTTTTTTTTTTGTAAGGGGCTAGAGAGTTGGTTTTAGCAGTTTGGAGCACTTGCTCCTGCAGAGGACCTGGAGTTTGACTCCCAGTAACCACCTGATGGCTCACAACCATACATAACTCCAGTTCCAGGAAATCTGATGTTCTCTTTCTGACCTCCAAGGGCACCAGGCATAAATGTGGAACACAGACACACAAGCAGGTGAAACACTCATACATTTAAAAAAAAAAAAATTTTTTTTTGTTTTTTTTTTAAAGGGACACCTTATACATTGGAGGAAATAGAGAAAATCAGCTCAGAAAATGCGGTTTTTACTGGGAGACCGCCTGGGGATGCTTCCGGTTGTTACTTGGGGCAGCCGGCAGCCTCAGGTTAGGTTTCTTGCTCTTGTGGAGCAGGTGTGGGCCTGGCTTCCTCTTCTCTCCTGGGGTCTCTATCTCCTCCTCAGCAGGAGCTCAGCAGGCTTCTCTGGGCTCTGCAGTGGCCCAGGGGCTAGATTCCCTCGGAGCACTGGAGACCCAGTTTGTCTCCTGGTAAGCCTGTAGAGGGCGGGGAGGGAGAGGAGAGGAGGCTGGGGACTTCCTTCGGGAAGGTTTTACTCTGCAGCACTCACTGCACAGAGAGGTTCAAGTACCCCAAGTGCTCCTCCTGGCCAGCCCTGTGGCTTCCTCCTCAGTTTGTCCCCAAGCCTGCCCTGCTTTGTCATTCTCAGATATCTGTCCTTGGGTGCTGCTGTGTTAGCCCTCCTAGCCAGGGATGCCCAGGCTAGCTCACTTTGCAGACAACCCGCCCCCCATTCCCTCTGGCCCTTCACATGGGAAGAAGAAATGTATCTTCCAATCTAGTATACTGTAGAGGAGAGGCGTAAGTCACAGTAATATACTGCTTGGCAGGTCTCTGTTCTTGAGACTGTTGAGGGCAGTGGTTCCCAACCTTCCTCCTGCTTCGACCTTTTCATCCAGTTCCTCATGCTGTGGTGACTGCCCCCCCCCATAAAATTGTGTTTTTCATATCTATATCTATATATATATAGATATAGATATATATATATTCTACGTTGGTGTTTTGCTTACATGTTTGTCTGTGTGAGAGCGTCAGATCCCCTGGATTTGAGTTACAGAGTTGTGAGCTGCCATGTGGGTGCTGGGAATTGAACCCGGGTCCTTTGGAAGAGCAGCCATCTCTCCATCCCCCAAAAGTGTTTTTATTGCCACTTCATAATTGTAATTTTGCTACTGTTGTGAATCTTAATGTAAATATCTGTGTTTTCCAGTGGTCGTAGGAAATCCCTGTGAAACGGTCAGTCGATCCCCAAAGGGGCCGCAACCCACGGGATGAGAACCACTGCTCGAGGAACTCCCTTTTTCCCCCACCCCACCCCACCCTTTTTTTTTGTTGTTGTTGTTGTTTTTTTGTTTTTTTGAGACAGGGTTTCTCTGTGTAGTTTTGGTGCCTGTCCTGGATCTCACTCTGTAGATCAGGCTGGCCTTGAACTCACAGAGATCCTGCCTGGCCCTGCCACACACCGCCCGGGGCCCCCTTTTCTGTCACAGGGCCTCACTATGTAGCCCTGGCTGACCTGGAACTCACTATATAAACCAGGTTGGCCTTCTGGAGTCCTAGGATTAAAGGTGTGTGGTGTGTGCCACGGAGCCCAGCAGGGCGTGAGCTGCTGTGTGGGTTCTGGGAATCTGGGACCTGGGTCCTCTGGAAGAGCAGCAAGTGCTCTTAATGGTTGAAGCATCTCTGCAGCCCTAGGACTCCATTTCTTATAAGACAAGATCCAGAACATTATATCTGACTTTCCAGCACCTTACCATATCATTTTCCTCCCCCCCCCACTCCCCACCCCGACCCCCCACTTACCCCTGTTGGACAGAAGAACCTCCTATTCCTGCTGCTCCACAGAACACCCCAGGCTCATTCTCCACTTGTGCTCTCTCAAAGCCCTACTTGCCTTCTCCCTTGGAGCCACACCCCATCAAGCCTTGCTTGAAGATGAAGCCTAGGGCCAGGGAGGTGGTTCAGCAAGCAAAGGCACTTGGATTCACTGCACAAAGCTGGCAGCCTGCGTTCAGTCCCCAGAACCCATGAAAAGGAAGACCAAGAGAACCGGCCCTACGACGACGATGTTGTCCTGGGACCTCCACACCCACGCTGTGGCGTGTGCACTCCCCCATATAACACACACACACACACACACACACACACACACACACACACACACACACACACAGAGTTACATTTTAACTAAAAATTAAAATAAGAAAAAGAAAATTAAAAAAAAAACCAGTTTGGCCCCTCAAGATGGTAAAGTTCCTTCTTGACCTGGTTGTAAAAAACAATTCTGGGGGCTGGAGAGATGGCTCAGTGGTTAGGAGCACTGGCTGCTCTTCCAGAGGACCTGGGTTCAATTCCCAGTACCCACATGACAGCTTAAAACTGTCTGTAGTTCCAGTTCCAGAGGATCTGACACCTTCACACAGACATGGAGGGAGGCAAAACACCAATGCATATAAAATAAAGATAAATAAATCATTTTAAAAAAAAAACCAATTCTGGTGAAGAATTAAGAAACCAGATGAGCTTGGGGGGCGGGGTGCATACCTTTAATCCCAGCACTCAGGAGGCAGAGCCAGGCGGATCTCTGTGAGTTCCAGGCCAGCCTGGTCTATAGAGTGAGATCCAGGACAGGCACCAAAACTACACAGAGAAACCTTGTCTCGAAAAAAGCAAAGACCAGACGAACTGCAGGCCTCACTTCCAGAAACATGGTTGCTGCTTATCCTCAGAGAGCTCTA